GTCCAGAAATCAGGACAGAACCAGACCATCACCGATCCCACAGCCGCTTCACTCCCTGAACAGCACAGTCCGAACAGCAGCACCTTCCAAACAAGAAGTGAAAATGGTCACCATAAGCTGATTTGTAAAGTCCATTCTGTGGGAACCCTCTGCTAAGCTCCCTGAAATGAGCCTTAGCTGGTCCCGAACACCAAGCCTGGCTTCCTGGAGCAGCAGAGCCCACCTCCCGGGGGCCAGAGGGGCCTCGGCCTGTCCAGACCGCAGAGGCTTCCCCAGGCTCTCCAGGTGGCCACAACTCATACGGCTGAGGTTTTACTGCTACTCCTCGATCTCTTTTAAGACCAACTCTACTTTTTCATTGTCCCCCAGGTGTCAAATTACAGCTGCTTGTCATTCTATTTCTTTCAGAGCGACCCAACAGAGGAGCTCTATCAAATTTCCCGCAGCGCACGGGGTACCTCAGCAGATCGCGACCTGCCGTTGACAAGCCCCGCCGTGATCACTGAACACGAAAATGAAAGTAAAAAACTGCTCAGAGCACGTCCAACAAAAGTATTTATTTGGCCGGCTCCCACCTCGAGAAGGCTTTTGGAAGGAAAAGAAGGACAAGAAGGAAGGAAAAGAAGGAAGAAGGGGGAGAGAAGAGGGGAGGGAAAGAGAGAGAAGAGGGGAGGGAGGGAGGTCCCTTCACGTCTGGGGTGTCAGAGCCTGTGCCCACTGAGGGCCAGCAGCTCCCCGGAAAGGGCCAACGCAAGAAAGAGGCAGCAGGACGTGGCCTCAGACCTGACCCCAGCTGGCCCTCCCTCCAGGTGCAGCCCTAGCCCCCCACACACACACACAGCTGGGCCCATGGGGCTCATCCACCATGGACCAATGCTGTTTCCTGGAGGGGAAGGCTGTCTAGGAGAGACAGGGTTTTGTCCCTCCCCCAGCCCCAGCTTCCAGTCCCTGCCTTCATGGCCCCCTCAAGTGTCCATCCCTGGACTTCTGGGGCCACGCTGTGCACAGGTTCTTGTCCAGCTCCCCACTCAACACTACCCACCCGACAGACCACCTTCTAGGTACCAGCTATCTGCCTGACCACCCCCGTAAGACACCGAAGACATTTCCACCACAAAGCTTCCATCTGAAACCAGAACAGGGGTCTCCTGGCTCCTCAGGGCCACCCCTGGGGCTGCTGAGAGCATGGCTGGGGTCCTGGCTGGTACGGATCAGCTCCTGGGTCAGCAGGCCTAAACCTGGTTGGTCTGCATTTCCGAGTTCAGCAGACTCTGATATGTCTTTATTAGGTAAGTTTTACTACCAGAGTAACAAAAGACTCATTTAACAAATAAAGATCTTTGAACACAAGTTAACCCCCCCATATATTCCCTCTCCAAATCGCCCCAGTTCCCCCCAAAGACACAAGTGGTGCTTGTCACATTCTCCCTTCTGGTCACCCGATGGGCGTGGGAGTGGGGTCATATATACAGGCTTTCCCAGAAACTAGGATCATATTAGAACCACTGCTCTGCAACTTACTTTTTCTATGTATCATCTAAGGGACATTTTTCCTGGTCAGGAAACAGACATTTAACTCATTTGTAAGTCCCTGCGTAATTTCCTATGACAGATACGCCATAATTTCTGAAGCCATTCCCCTGTCCGTGGATTTAAGGTGTTACAGTTTTTGCCACTAAAAATACTGCTGCAGACCTTTGCTTTTATATATGTGAGTCCCCAAAACAAATCAAATCACCACTGTACTTGTCCTTTAATAGACGACGTCAGATTAAATTCCCAAAGACTGTGACCAGCTCACATGCTTGCCTGCAGAGCGGGTCTGTGCCCGCCTCCCTGAGTTCCCGCCAGCACCGGATGTGTTGTTACTCTTCTTTTCAATTTTTGGCAATCTTCTGAGCGTGGTTTATGTTTAAATTTCCCTGGGTCGTAGTAAGGACAAACACGTTTTCATATAACATGTGGACCATTTATTTACATCTTTGCCCCGTTTCCTATTCAGGGCCGTTTTCTGACCCGGCACAGCAGCTCTCCGTACTGCAGAAGCAGCTCTGGCCCACCGTGTGGCTAAGGGTCCTCCCAGTCTGGGTGTCTCTCTTTTCAACTGTGACATTAAATCACACAACGTTCATGATGCGGCGTCTGAGGCATCCCTAGGTGTACCGTTTGTCGGCACTGAGCACACGCACACCAGCGCCATCATCTCCGGAAGTTTCCATCTTCCCAAGCTGAAACTCTGTCCCAGGTAGACATGAACTCCATCCCCCGTGCCCACCGGTCTCTACAGATCTGATGGCTCCCGGGACCTCAGAGAGGTCAAATCCCAGAGCATATGCCCCGCCCCCTTTTCTTTACGATTTTTTCTTTATTGGAGAGAGAGGCAGAGAGAGCAAGCATGGGAGGGAGGAAGACCGCGGCAGGCTCCCTGCCGGGCACAGAGCCCCACACCGGGCTCGGTCTCACGATGGAGATCACAGCCCGCGTCGAATCCAGGAGTCGGACGCTGAATGGCACCTCTGAGCACCTGCCGTTTCGTGACGGTTTAACCTCCCTGAGCACGATGCCCTCCAGGTTCATGCACGGCGCGGCAGGTGTTGGAAATCCCTCCCCACGGAGGCTGGAGGTACCCCGCGGTCCGCGTGTGCACCATCCTGCGACTCACCTGTCAGTGCACGTTCGTGTCGCGTCTCCCTCCTGGCTGCTGTGCACGACACTGCTGTGGACACGGGTGCCGAGAGCCACTTGGGTCCCGGCTTCCTAGGCCTCGGGGCGCTGTTTCGAGGTTGCTGATGACGTGCTAATTCCGTGTTCTGCGGACCCTCCTCCTCCTTTCCTAGGTGGCCGTGCGGCCTTCCGCTCCCGCCAACTCGGGGCGAGGGGTCAGATCCCGCCACATCCTCGCCAACACTTCCTGTTTTCGGTTTTCGTTTTTTACAGTAGCCGTCCTGACAGGTGTGAGCTGGCAAATACGTTTATCTTTTGATTTTCTTTATAAAGTATCTTGTTCCATGGAAACATTTTAATTTTAACTGTGATTTAAAAGTTCTGTTGGGCAGTTTGAGAACACAGAGAAGTTAAGAGGCTTGCACATTTCCATCTGTACCCCAAGCAAAGGAAGGGGAGTGGGAGGGAAAGAGATGGAACCTGTGTCTGACCACGGAATGTTCTGGACTCCACATGGCGGTTCGCCCTGTGCGTCCCCGCGAAGCTGCTGGGCCACACCTCCCTGCCCGGCCAGCTGTCAGGCTGAATGACGTCGTGGTGAGCCAGACCCACAAGGCACACTGTCCTTGTCACTCTCTGTCTGCTACTCACAGCACAGGATTTTGGGAGACTGGATGGAGCCCGCTTTGCCACTTCCTAGACCTTAACTGTATAGAAAAATACCAAATATTGTCTGTCTCCAGAACTCAAAGCCTAACACTTATATTCACATTTAAATGACTTTCTTGTTCCAAAGAACTATTACGCCGTACAGAACGCTGATGCGACTGCGTGCCGGTGAGCCAAGCTGAGGCCGGGGAAGGAAACCTCCAGAGTGGCCAGGACTTCCAGGCCTGGTTTTTGTCAAGGACAAAGAAGAGGGAAGGACCCTGGTTGTTACTGTGCTGATTAAACACACACGTTTCCTCTATAACCCAACTTCACTGCGGGCAGGGAGCATGTTTCTAAAACAGGGTTATTTTTTAAAAGCCGCCTCCCGATAGAAGCTACACAAGGTACGGTCACAAGCGGCCTGGGAGGGGAGGCCGAGGGTCAGGCCTGTGCGTGTGGAGGAGCCAGCAGACACCCCGGGCTGGGAGGGCGGCCTGAGCTCCACATCCTGCCAGCTCGGGCGTCCTAACAGACCGTCCCTGCGGCCCCAGTCAGCGTTTCCTCAGGCTGCACACAACGCTTCCCCCAAACCCCTGCCACGGCCAAAATAAGACAGACGAGCACCCACAAAACAGAGCGACCCAGAGCTGTGGCAGTGTGTCCCCAGGGCACGTGAGCCACCGGGGACACAGGCACAACTGTTCTCAGCCCCGAAGCCCCCGGTCCGGGACACGGGGCCGCTGTCCTGGCAGGATGCGCCCAGCACCTGGGTTCTGACTGTCCGAGCCCCGTGGTGCCCGCGCTGCCCCCGCAAGGGCCGGCGGAGCCGCAGCACCCTCGGGCAGAAGACGCTTCTCCCTCCCGGAGGGCCTCTGCGGAAGGAGCCCCACCACGGACACCCCTGCTGGCGCCGGGCACTGGGGGACGACACACCCGTGTCAGCATCGCCCCTAACTCTGCCTGCGGACCTGGGGAAACAGGCGGGTCCCTGCCCCGCAGGCCGGTCTTCCGGAGCAACCCGCGCCCCCTGCAGACCCAGTGCCCCGTGTGGGGCCTTTCCTTCAGGAGAAGCCACGCCGGGCGAGCCCCCCACGCTGGCACTGCGCCCTCCCTCCGCCCTCCTCACCTGAGGGCCACTACCAGGGGCCACAGCTGCCCCCGACCGGCTGCCCTCAAACAGGACGCCGGGCCTCTGCCGAGACGCATCCCTCGGGAGCCGGGCAGCTGCGCCCGCCCCGTCCTGCCCTGCCCGGTGGGGCTGCTCCCTGCACCCTTGGCACTGCCGGCCGCCACTGGACACCACGCGCCACCTCCTCGGCCCCACGAGAGAAGACCTGGGCAGGCTGAAGGACAAACGGTCGCCCGCCAAAGGAGCAAGAGCCCATGGAGAGGGGCGGCAGGTCCCGCCGGGGTCAGGGCCGCGCGTCCAGCCCCGGGGTCAGAGAGCTGCCGTGAGCAGCTGTCCGTCCCGGGGTACGACGAGAGAGAGACACGGACCAAAGCCGTGCATATGAACGACGTGTCCCGCCTGTGCCCAGTGTCCACTGAGTTCTCACTCCCGCCCCAGGGGGTTTCCTCCCCTCGACCCTCCGCAGGGCGCTGGAGAGAGCGAGGCGCACCCAGCACGTGGCACCGGCCCCCGCAAGCCCAGCCCCACCGCGGGGTCGGCCGCACAGCACACTTACCGTTGACACAGGTCTCAGACGGTCTGCAGAGGCCATCCTCGAACAGACAGCCTGCGGAGGAAGACAAGAGAGAAAGGACTCAGTGCTACAAGGACGGGCAGCTCTCCACGGCCGCTGCACCTGCGGACTCCTGGGTGTCCCAGAAACGAGGCAGCCCCCCCCCCAGGCTCTTGGGACGCAGCATCTTCGAGAGCAGCTGAACCTGCGAGCCTGGCTCGAGTCAGTGAGAGGACAGACGTGTGTGTGGACTGGTTCCCCATTGGGAGGACCCTCGAGTTCGCCCTGTCCCTTCCGGCAGCAGGGCAGGGCTACCTGCCCAAGGACACCCTCTGGAGCAGCGGAGGGAGCGTGGGGATGAGCCATCCACGTGGACACCTCCCTAGCCCCACGGGGCTCTGTCAGCACCATCACTAACCAGGTCCTTCCGTCACACATCGTGCCTAACACCATGACGCGAGTCCCAAAGTGGACAGACGGCCCGCACGTGCGGCCAGGAGCACAGGAAGAAGGCGCAGGGAAGCAGATCTCGTCCTCCGTAAGAGACACAGACAGGATGTGAAGTGGGTGTGACCCCAGACGCAGTACTCTCCACAGAAGGGTAGCAGTAGGTCAGAGAAGGCGGACATTCTGCCCTCTGACAAAGGACAAAGGACATGGAGAGAGACCTGCACCTCCCACAGGGTGAACCAGTCAGAGGAGAACACTGCAAGGAAGGGGGAGATCGAGACTCAGGTGACGTCTGCCTGCCAGGCTCCCTGATGCTACAGGCCCCCCGCCCAGAGGAAGGCCACCAACCACCAAAGCCTGATGTACTAACACAGGAGCCCGCCAGCAACACGGAGAGCACGTTCCTGACGAAGCGTTAACACCCACACTCCTGTTTTCCAACAGACGAACTCCTATTCATCCACCAAGACCCCACTCAAAAGTCGCCCACGGAACCCCCGGACGAGACTGGCAGACCGGTACTGCTCAGGCGCCCACGGCAGGACTCGCCACATGTGCCTCGCTTGTCCCTTTCAGGGTGTATCTTGAACAGGACCGTCGGGATTGGGCACCACACGCACCTATCACTATCCCCTCCGGCCCCAGCGGGGGGGCTCAGGAGCAGCAGGGGGCAGGGGGAGCGTGGCGGGCTCGGAGGGACTCATCAGGAAGGAATCCTCCCCAGGGCCACGTAAAGCCCCCGATGACCAAGGTGCGCACTAGGGACCGCGCTCGAATCGTCAGAGCGGGAAGCGTTCCCCAAAGCGGACGTGGACGGAGAACAGAACAGGAAGGACCTGCAGAGGCTACGAAAGCAGAGTCGTCGCGAATGTCGTCGCACACCCCGGGGAGCAGAGCCCGGCCGGCGTCACCGTGAGTTCCTCAGACACATCGGCGCTGCTTGCCTTACGACAGGTGCGGGACAAGCCGGACGGACCCACGTCACCCAGGAGAGGCCCTACAGGCAGGCCCAGGGCACGAACCCGGGGAGCTGCTCCCGCGGACCGCCCTGGGCCTCAAAGGGTCTGCCTTCCCGGAGCAGCGCCTCACGACAGACTCGGGCGACGGACGTCCGGCCGGAGCACACGCCCGCGCCACTCGCTCCGCCGCTAACCCGGCCGCGCGCCCCCAGCTCCGCTCCCAGAGCCGCGCGCTCACGCCTCCTTCGCCCTCAGACCCGAGCCAGGCCCGTGAGGTGGAAACGGAGCGACGCCCGCAGGAAAACCGCCGAAAACCCTCCGCGAGCCGCCCCGCCGCAGTGAGCGGGACCGGAACGCGGTCGGTCGCCACAAGCAGTGACCCGAGAAAGGCCATGGGCCTGTGCGGTCCAGGGTCCCCTCCGGGCCAGGCTGGCTGGCCCTCAGGGCTCCGCTCCGGCCGCGCGGGAGGCCGTCTCCGGTGGGAGACCAGACGCGGACCGCCCGGGGCCGCTCGAGGAGCCCAAGCACTCGGCCTCCCCTCCCCGGCCCGACGCTCGGAGGCCGCGGGCTCCCTGCTCCACGGGATTACGCCCGTGAGTGCCCAGGGCGCACGGAGACCGCAGAGGACTGGACGCAGGGACGGGGCAGCCCCACAGCGGAGCCCAAGACTCGGTCGCGCTCACAGCCCTGCGCGTCGCCCGGAAGCCGCAGACCACAGGCCGCGCGCGGAGAGGCGGCCGCGGCCTCTGCTCAGGCTCCACGGCCCCGATCACAGCGGGCGGGAGACGCGCGCGGAGCGACACGTGCGTCGCGGCTGAGCCTGAGCCCCGACCCCAGAGCAGCCGCCCCGGCCGCGAGGGCCCCGCTCCGCCCGCGCCCGAGAAGCCGCCATTTGCAGGCGCTTCCGGCAGAGCCGCACGTGCGGTGCCCGCCCCGCCGGCCGCGCTCGGCCAATCGGACGAATTCGTGCTGTTCGCTCTGAAATTGCGGAAGTGCCACCCGCGCACACCGGTCACGACCGGACGTCACAGAAACCACGAGACGCGTGAGCGAGACTCGGCTCCGTCCTGGGCTCCGCATCCGACGCGCTTCTCCGGGACCCACCCCCCGCCGGCGGCCCGGGCCAGCGCCAGAGTCGGCCTCCTCCCCGCGCGGTCTCACGCTCCAGCTCACGAACGGCCTCGAGACCAGCCGCCCCCACAGCCGCGCGGTGACCTCCACGGAGCAAGCCGGTGAGGCGGCCCATCGGGGCCCTGAGCTCGCAGCCGGGAAACCTCCGTTCCGACGGCGTGATCCACCCTGTCCAGGAAAACCAGGGCCGCACTTGCACGTGCTCACCCTGCGCCTGGCTGAGCACCCGGGGACGGCTGTGGAGCGGGGGCGCCCCGGCTCCTCACAGCCACACGCTTCCCTCCGGCCTCAGAGCGCGCGCTCACTCGGACGGCCGGACGCGCTCGGTCACAGACACACGCACCCTCCCTCCCTCCCTGTCTCCTCAGAATTCCGACCGAGTCGGTGTCACCGTCCCGACGCGTCGCTCCTCTCTTCCTACCCGAACGCAAAGAGGAGCCGCAGTCCCGCAGGAGGCAGACCAGCTGGGCCGCCACCGCTCCCGAGCCACTCAGCAAGGGCCGGGGTTCTGCCGTGAAAACGGGCCGCGTGCGCGGGACCCCTGCCCCCGGCTGACCGGAAACGGCCCCACCACAGCCCCCCACCCCCGGGGTGTCCCCCAGGCTGGGACGCTGCGCAGAGGGGGGAGTGGTCTGAACGTCAAGGGCCCCAGCCCAGCAATCGCCGGCACCGCTGTCCCCCCACCGCAGGGGACTCCTCGCCCCCCCGGGTCGGCTCCCTGCCGCAGGTGTCCGCAGAAGCAGCGAGACGGTCCCGACGCCCGCGGCACCACAGAGAGGTTCCGAGACGGAATAACGGAAGAGAAAGATGGAAGCAAAATGAATTCTCTCCTGTAATCAAACGGTTTCCCTCCCAGGCCGACCTGGGGAGCAGGAGCAGGGACTGTCCTTCCTGTCAAGCCAGTGGGAGATTCTCAGAACCCACGGAATCTCCGGAAATTTTCTTAAAATTGAGAGCGATAACGCTACTAACCCCAAAACGGTTTAGTTTGCAGCCAGATACCACGATGACGGGGTCCGACTGGCTCTTGGATTCTACCCAAACGCATGTTAATCACGAGTGGGTTACCTTTTCCCAAAGGCAATTCTGCACACGTAACAACATCCTCCCACACATGGGTTCCCGTCCTCCATTGTCCCCTCTTCTCATTGGGCACCCCCAAAAGTAAACGACGACACAGTCTAAGGACCCCCCACGGCCTGCTCCCAGGTTGCAGAAGAGGAAACCTGCACTCAAGGAGGCTAACGACATGCCCACAGCTTGACTCAGAGCCTGGTCTGTCTCTCCCGACACACACTTTCTGCACCACTGCAAGCTGCCGTAGGAAGAAGGGCGTTGTGTGTCCACACAGGAGTTCACCCGGGCAGACGAAGGCCGCACGGCCGGGCAAGCACAAGGACTTTACATGGTGGAGCTCCATGTCCAGACGCTCAGCCCACAGCTCTCGTCCCTTCTACCCACCTCTGCCCGCAGCTCTCTCTCCTCTGTGGGCCTGGAACAGACCCAGCGACTGCACAGGCACACACGCCTGGAGGGAAGGAGAGCCCCCACTCCTGCACACTGCTACCTGAGCTGAAACCAAGAGGCAGATGCTTAACTGACCACACCAGCCAAGTGCCCTCCCACTGCTACTCCTTTCACCACATAACTCCCGCTAAGGCAGTACCACTGGGCCCTGGCCTGCCTGTGGCTCTATTCCTGGCCTCCACGCCCTTCCTCAGCTCTCAGGAGCCTCACAGAGCAGCTCCCACCCCAGCAGGAAGAGACAGGGGCCGGCAGCTGGAGATGCCTGGACTCTGGTGGCTTCAGCCATGAGCACAAACTAAAGGCATGGGCCGAGCATTTCTGCCCCAAGCCCATCCTGCCGACAGTGACCAGGAGCAGACTCCGGGTACAGCCGACCCGAGGCATATCTCAGACCAGACAGTGGAGAAAATGAAACCAACAATGGCAAACAGGCCCAGGAGGGACAGAAAGCCCCCGCTGGCGGCACCGCAGGGGAACCCAGGGCAGGCAGACATCATTTTATTGGTTTTTTATTTGGGTCTTGATTTGCTAAAATCTTTGTTCTCCGCTAACCCAGACCACTTCTCTTCTCCTGGGACCTGACTCTTGGTTCCGACATCTGAACAGCAACAGCCTGGAAGCTTCCGGAGGCGCGCGTGTGCGGGGCTTTACACTGAAGGCCTGTGCCGGAGCCCGGTCGTGAGTATCGGGAACCAAGCAGTGAGCGGACCAGACCGCTCAGCGTAGCAGGACCCCCTGCGCAAGTGCAGACCTGCAGGCCCTGGGTGGCCGTCAGCGGCGGGTCCGCATAGCTGGCAGGTGGCCGGCCGGCAAGGACAGCTCCTGGTTTGCAGGGCTCCCCGGTAAGAGCTCAGGCCTGCAGCTGGGCACAAACTCCGGTCAGCTCCACATAACTCCCCCCAGGTGAACCTTCGCAGTTTCCGCACACCTTCACGTGCCTGTCCTTCCTCTGCCAGGACGTCCCGGCTCCCTTAAGAGTCCCCGCGGCACAGGAGGCACTCAGTACACCGGGTACATACTGTGCGAGGAATCCCTTCTCTGCTTGTCGGGATAAGAAGCTGATGATAAGAACTCTCTGAGGCCCCAGCTCCCAAATGTGAGGGTCTACACCGCAGCAATC